AGAGAAGGAATTGGGCAGGATTCGTTGGAGTATTGTAGGATTATCCGAAGTCCGAAGAGAGGGCGAGGACACGATGATCCTTAAATCCGGTAACCTGCTCTATTTCCGGGAGGGCGAAGATCTGTCCCAAGGTGGCGTCGGGTTTATCGTCCACAAGTCTCTCGTGAACAATATTGTACAGATCGGAAGTGTATCGAATAGGGTGGCGTACCTTATACTCAGAATCACCGAACGGTATTCGCTGAAGGTCATACAGGTTTACGCCCCGACCTCGACGCACCCCGACGAGGAAGTGGAAGCCATGTATGAGGACATTTCCCGGGCAATACATGGTTCCACGACCCACTACACTGTTGTCATGGGAGACTTCAACGCAAGGCTAGGCAAGCGTGGCGATGAGGAGTTGAAGGTGGGGCATTTTGGATCTGGGATCCGGAATCACCGTGGTCAAATGCTAGCCGACTACATGGAGAGGGAAGGACTCTATATGATGAACTCCTTCTTCAAAAAACGGTTGCATCGAAAGTGGACCTGGAAGAGTCCGGATGGTGTGACAAAAAGCGAGATCGACTTCATCATGTCGACTAAGACTCGGATATTCAATGACGTCTCAGTGATCAATTCGTTTAATACGGGAAGCGATCACCGTATGGTAAGAGGCGCATTGAATCTAAATGTAAAAGCTGAACGGTATCGACTGGTGAAGTCTACGCTCCGTCCTGAAGCCACCCAGATCCGGGACCCCGAACACTTTCAGCTCGAACTTCAAAACCGCTTCGATTGCCTGGAGAGCTGCTCGGATGTGGACGAATACAATGACAGGGTCGTAGAAGCTGTCCTTACGGTGGGTTCAAAATTCCTCAAACCTCGCCGTACTCAAAAAAGAAGCAAGATCTCGGAGCAGACAAGCAAGCTAATGGAAGAAAGGCGTGAAATGGTTCTGCAATCTTCTGAGGATGCTCGTCGGCAACTCAATAGACAGATCTCGAAGTCTCTCACACGCGACATACGCCAATTTAATACTCAATGTATTAAGGAGGCGATTGAGCGGAATAAAGGCTCCAAAGTGTTCGCTAGAGATCTGTCTCTCGGACAAAGCTTGCTGACGAAGCTAAAGACAGAGGACGGCAGAGTCGTTACATCCCGTCCTGAGCTTGTGGCGGAGATCGAACGCTTCTATGGACAGTTATACACAACATCACAGAAACCTGTCATTGAGGCTACAGACCCTAGAGCCAAATTAACCCGACATTATACCGAAGACATCCCGGACGTCAGTCTATACGAGATTAGTGTGGCTCTCAAACAGCTCAAGAACAACAAGGCGCCGGGGTATGATGGAATCACAGCGGAACTTCTGAAAGCGGGTGGACTACCAGTCCGGAAAGCGCTTCAGAAGCTATTTAATTCCGCCATACTCGAGGGCAAGACGCCAGAAGCATGGCACAGGGGCGTGGTGGTGCTTTTCTTCAAAAAGGGCGACAGGGCCCAATTGAGGAATTACAGACCCATCACGCTTCTGAGTCATGTGTACAAGCTGTTTTCGAGAGTCATCACGAATCGTCTCGCACGTAGATTTGACGACTTCCAGCCTCCTGAACAAGCCGGTTTCCGAAAAGGTTACAGTACCATAGACCACATTCATACGCTGCGACAGGTTATACAGAAGACCGAAGAGTATAATCTGCCACTATGCTTGGCGTTTGTGGACTATGAGAAAGCCTTCGACTCCGTCGAGACCTGGGCCGTGCTTAGGTCACTCCAGAGGTGCCAAATAGACTATCGATACATCCAAGTGCTGCAGTCACTGTACGAAAATGCCACCATGTCAGTTCGGCTCCAGGACCAAAACTCGAAAGCAATACGACTTCAGCGTGGAGTGAGACAGGGCGACGTTATATCGCCGAAACTGTTCACTGCCGCACTGGAGGACGTGTTTAAGCTTTTGGACTGGAGAGGACTTGGCATCAATATAAACGGCGAGTACATGACGCACCTTCGTTTCGCTGATGATATCGTAGTCATGGCTGAGACCATGGAAGATCTAGGCACAATGCTCGAAGACCTCTGTAGAGTTTCCCAGCAAGTGGGTCTTAAAATGAACATGGAGAAGACAAAAATAATGTCAAACTCCCATGTCGTACCCACTCCAGTGAATGTTGGAGGCTCTACACTGGAAGCTGTCGACGAGTACCTTTACCTGGGACAAATAGTCCGATTAGGTAAGTCCAACTTCCAGAGAGAGGTAAGTCGACGGATCCAACTCGGCTGGGCAGCGTTCGGGAAGCTACGCAGTGTATTCTCGGAACATCTACCGCAGTGTCTCAAGACAAAAGTCTTTAATTCGTGCGTGTTGCCAGTGATGACTTACGGTGCTGAGACGTGGCCGCTTACGATGGGCCTCATAAGGAAGCTCAAGGTCGCTCAGAGGGCAATGGAAAGGGCTATGCTCGGGGTTTCTTTGCGAGATCGAATTAGAAATGATGAGATCCGCAGAAGAACTAAAGTCACCGACATAGCCCACAGAATTGCAAACCTCAAGTGGCAGTGGGCAGGGCACATCGCTCGCAGGACTGACGGCCGTTGGGGCGGTAAGGTCCTGGAGTGGCGACCGCGTACCGGGAGACGCAGTGTTGGCAGGCCCCCCACAAGGTGGACCGACGATCTGGTGAAGGTCGCGGGAAGCCGCTGGATGCGGGAAGCGCAGGACCGATCGTTTTGGAGATCTTTGGGGGAGGCCTATGCCCAGCAGTGGGCGTCTCTCGGCTGAAATGATGATGATGATGATGATGAATAACCGGTTAAGTATAAACCGGTATATTTAACCGGTAATTATACACAATCAATCGAACCGTCCAAAGTTCCCTATTTTCAGCTACACAAAACAATTTTGTGGTTTCGTTGTTGTAATTACATCAACATAATTGAGGTTATTACATTATATTGGATTACACTGTGCGTCCGTTCGTAGGTTCTTCAAAATAATTAGGTAACGTTACTGAAGGTCATAAAGTATGAAAGCATTCACCATTACTCTAACACAGTTGTGCCTAACCTGTTAGTTATTTCATTAGAGACCATTTTCTATCTTAAGATGGCAGACACGGCAGAGGGGAATAAGCTTTTTTCTCAGGTACAAAAAGTCATGAGCCCACTTGATTTAATATGCTGTACCCAAGCCTAGATAAATAAAGTATTATTATAAATTTTATGTATAAAACAAAATTACTACACGACCATATCTTGGAGAGTTACACCCATATTCACTAACCTAGAACTAGGTATAGCTTAACTAGGAAACGCTTAGTATTACGAATCGCCTAAGCAGATAAGTTGAATTCCAAATAAATATTTATGACCTGTCATTTACGCAAATGCCTAGCGCAAGGCGCCGTATAACAAATATAATAACTTTAAACATTGCTTAATTTCGTTAGGTGGTTCCTAGTCATTAGTGAAATGCATTTAGACCTTAGGCGATTCGTAAATATTTAAGCGACAGATTTGGGTTTAGGAGTCACCCAAATATGTCGCCTAAATTTCAGTGAAAACGGGCATTACTCATTGTTCCATTACTAAAAAGATTTATTTTACTTGCATGTCCGTTCCAAATTGAGTTAAACAATAAATGGCAATATGAACCGGTTTTGTCTAGACAATTTAGTTATCATTCAGGTACACTTTGGTTGGTTGCAAAGAATAGCATAGTTTTTAATGATTGTCACTAGCCGTGATTGAAGCAGACTTTATAACTTCCAGAAAAAAAGGGAGACGTAAAGTTTAAGAATGTTATTTATTAAAACAAAGAGCAATTGATCAATTTTTTTTTTATTCTTTAATTATTAAGAAGACGATTCCTTGCATAATTGCTAATCCCGTAAATACAACTCAATTATCACAAGCTTATTCTTCATATAATTCCTGACTTAACCATTCTATACAACATTCTGGCAACAATGGACGTTGGTGCAGCCAAGATGCTGTCACAGAATCCAGATTGTCACAAACTGTCTAGTTTCCTCTATCTATCGATTTCAAATAACAACTTTCAATTCAAACACAAAAATATCAATTAACGCGCTTCACCTAGAAGTGAGCTAATTAAAAGAACACTTCTCTCTCTGACTACGCCAATCTATGTACAGTTAACAGCACGTGAAACCACTATAAAAGGTTAAATTCTTCCGATCGATTTAAGTATCTGTAGATTTTAAGATCCAAAATTGATTGTGAAAAGTTTACCTTTTGTAGTATTAAGATGTGATGCTGTATGTACTTACATGAAAACAAAGGCTACGACGGGATCCGATAAGCTCGTTAGTGAGGCTACAATCGGCTTTATTTCACGAAGTTTTCACGGTATCACAAATAATTTTAACATGTACGTACTTTATATTTCGTCAGACGGAAATTCAAAGTGCGCTAGTGGAAAATAATTTTAACGAAATGTAATTAAATAAGTTTACTTTTTTCTAATATTTTCACGCGCTCTGCTCATTTAATTGAACTACTTTTAAATGGTTATATTTTATTGAATATATTTTTCTTTCGAAAAAATACATGATTATTCAGAATTTTTGGGATCTTTTACTGGTTTAAGTGGAACTTAAAAATGATCCTAAGCATCTACAAAAATAAATATTGTTTAATCAAATAAACCGTTTAAAAGTAGTTTTATTGTATAACTTTCATTTTATTCTAAAAAAAAATATAGCTGTAATTCTTTATATATTCAAATGGAACGGTTTGATTTATTTTAAAGCTTTTTTTAAAAACAAGAAAGGACCAACTATTGATCCCTGCGGAACACCCATCTTAACTTTCGATCCAGGGATAGTAGTAACGAGAGTAGTAGTTGGTTAAGTACCGCGGCTCGCGATCGTTGTTGTTAAGCAAGTTTTGCTAGGGCCAAAAAAATATTACAGCCAATAATTATACAGATTCTAATCATAGGAAAAGCTTGTGCCCCAAAAGTGGTGATGTTTATGGATTCATGATGATGGCCTTATTCTTTGTTCACAGTTAAACCGAAATCAGTGGACGTAACAGCCGCCGGTCGTCAGCTCTCCGATGGATCAGTGCTCGGTCCACTGCTGGAACGTGAGAAGATCGAGGTGGCCTGCACAGTACTGGAAGGGAAACCACAGCCGGAGGTCGTGTGGTATTTCAACGGAAAGAAGCTGGATGGTAAGTCTGTAGTTTGTATTCCAACTTCCTGTATAAACAGGTGATATTCTTTTACTTTATAAGATGAAAAAAATATGTTTATTGTGCCATAAACTTAAAAATAAAACAAACATTACATAAGAAGAAATGGAGGAAAAAAAAATTTACTGTTTGGATAACTATGGGTCGCAACAATGCTGATATTCTGACAGGGCCTGTTTTTGTATATTGTGCTAAATAAATATAAATAGGTTTATAAAATCATTGCTATAAAAAAATAAATATAATTAAAATAAAATCAACGTATAGTTGACTCTGTATAATTTTTTTTTTATTAAACTAGGCTGTATATGCGAAATCCCTTTGTCCCTAATGAACATTGAAGATGTCAGATCAAATGTTCCCTTTTTCTATTTCATGTATTCGGACACATGAGTGAATTCGAATACGGATTAGGATTTTTACAGAATCGCCCTGCTGGTCGACAAATGCCGTGCTAGATGCTTGTTTGTTGCAAACGTGAAGCACGTTTTCGATTCCAATGTTGATTATATTAGTTAATAGAAACAAAGGTTATCAGAAATCCATTGCTATAACTGTGGAACCTTAATATCTGCAAGAGCTGCAGTGAAACGTCCGCACACAATACACGTATACACACGTCAACAAAACTCGCCAAAATCACTGTACACGTGTCCTCGGGCATCTTTAGGAGTTATTAGACCAAACGAGTGAGACGGACATTTAATCGATATTTAAACTTTTTAGAGTGTAGTTACTGTAAAATAAAGTTATAAATGAATATACTGTGTCTGTATTGAATCATATACAACATAAATGGTACTAAAATAAATAAAGCACATTACATAAATTGGCAGAATCGATGTGAGATCACCGATGAATAATTAAATTTTTAACGAATTAATTTATAAAATTGTGTATAAAATCTACACTTAATTTCCGGATGTTGGAGACCTGGTGACCTGTAAAACGGGTTTTACACTCAAGTGCAGGCACCAGTCTCCACGATAAATTCTTATGTTATTGATACGCTCTGCACTTTTGTACATTTTTTGATATTGTGGAAAAAATATAGAAAATATTATTATTAGTATTATTAAATACTCAATAATAACAACTCGTAAAGTATATTATTTATTTAGGACCTAGAATAAATGATACTTGAAATGAAAATATATATCATGTCATGAAATACAATTGAAATATCCTAACTAACACTTAAGAGACCTGACAGTATTCCTTGCACTTCCTAGGAAGAACGTGATATTGTGCTATTTGGAATTATTGGTGCGTTTTGTCTGAGAACTAAATATTTTGTTAAAATAACAAAAATATCAACATTCTATATCTTATGACGACCATCTTAAAGTCCTTTTTACCACCTTATTATCACTGTCAACTATATTTTCTCACTAAACGGATCACCGGCATACGTGACCGACGAACTGGAACCAAGCTCATTGTTGAGCTACGACGTAGTATGTAGCTGCTACTAATGCTACGAGACGTGCTTTGCTACGGTGCTACGGAAATTATCAAGTAATTTGGTTATAAGCAATTTTGTATTTTTAAGTATATTTTGCAACACGTCAGGTTACCAATTTGGAGCCTTAATTTATTGTTAGTTAAGTTCACTTGATTACAGAATGAACTTAACCTAATATTGTGTAGTTTTATGTATGATTTGTTGGATCAATTGAAGCTTTGCGTGTGTTCTTCCGTCAGCATGAATTGCTCCCATACTATTTGACCAATTTAATTAAGCTTTGTTCGCATAATGGGTATAGTGACTCAAAGATGGACTTTTAGGATATGTGACTTAATTCTAAACTTAGGGGTAAAAATAAAACGATGATATAATATTTGCAAACTACATCTTGGACATATAATACGTAGTACATGAAAAGTTTAAATACTAGTAAAATATATTATTGAGAAACCGCACAACAGTTTGTTAGAGAAAATAAATAATAACGTAAAAAATCACATTAACATAATAACAAAAATCAATCGTTTTAAAAATTTAAAGTACTGTCATTTAATAAGGACACCGCTTTTAACCGATGGTGTACTAAAATCCCAACTGAAATATGTTCATATTATTTTCTCTTATCCTTATTCATTGTATGTATAATTATTTGGCGTGGAACTGTAATTAAGACGTTTTGTATTTCTTTTATTATTCCAGCTATCAAAACAGTGGCTATGATTAGGTGACTTATCTATTTAAATTATCTTTATCACCATCGTCACCAGCCCATTAATTCACCCACTGCTGGGCCACAGGCCTGCTTTATGGATAGAATCAAATCGAATAGGGAGAGTGGTTCATGATCCATCACGCGATCCAGTGCGAAACAGTGGGTTTGTGCAGATGCAGCCGAGACCAATAGCTTAATGTGCCTTCCGGAGTACACCGGCCCTTACACAAAGTCGCTTAACTTCCGCAAACCTTTGAAAAATCTTTAAATAATAATGCTGCATCATCATCGTTATAAGTCCTTTACGTCTCCTCTGTAGGGACTCAGACCTCCCTTATGGATGGTCAAGGAGATTGATCCATGAACCTCCACCCTGGCTCAATGCAGATTGAAAGGTATTGACTTCGGACAATTTTAGACATCGGATGACTTAAAACAAATAGTCATAAACATAGGTGATATCATCAACTACCCCATAAGATCCACAGATATAAGAAATGTTTATCGTAGTTTCTCAAAAATAGATGCAAAAAAACACATAATCGTCGATTATAACACGGTTTCTGTAAAAGAAAAAATGCTAGCAGCATATAAAACTTTTAACAGAGTAAACAGCAGCAACAATTTTTCCTTGTCTCATTTGAAAATCGAAGGACACCCCACAAAAATATATTTATCAGACTATTTGACACCAACTATGAAGAGACTGTACTTTTATGTGAGAGACTTTGCATCTATGAATGATTATAGATTTTGTTGGGCAACTACAGGAACTATTTACCTAAGGAAAAATGAAGGCGATCAACCTATCCGAATAAAAAACGAGATGGACCTAAAAAACCTACAATCTGCAACAAAATAGGAAGTATTATACAATATCATAAGTTTTTTCTTATTAAATATAAAAAAAATACTAAGTTGATATCTGTTAATGAGCTTTTCTATTCATTATACAAAAATATAAAAACTGTAACACATTTAAAGCACTGTAAGAAAACTAGTAATAATCAATCAAAGTTCCTAAAATGTTGTCTTATTTATAGTCACAATGTTAGCAAGATAATTATGTTTTTATCAATCTCGTACAGACTAAGTATCACATCTACACAAAATTGCTTAATTCAACTTATTGGAAATTTAGCCTGTGAGTCACAATACTCACACCCTTTTTTCCTCAGTACAAATTACAATAACGACAATTATATAAATAAAATACTTATATATATATTTATAGCAATATTAGTACGACGGTTTGCTATTAATGTTTATAATCCCCACATTAATTTACACTCATCACAAAATTCTACCCACATTTATGTGTTTATTGAATTACTTGAATTGTTCAATTTATACAAAAAAAAAATATGTATGAATCTTAAGCATAACACTGATAACAAACAGGTTTTCTTTAAGTGTTTGGTAGCCTATATCGGGCCTTTTATTTGGTTACAATTTGAATTTAATATCTGTCCCAATATAATTAATTCAAAGTGGACTTAATTGATTACGTTGATCATACCAATATTATGGAGCCGATTATATGTAACCCCGATCAATGCTTAACACAATTACTTAACCCAAATTTATATTTGAAAATATTTCAACAAAACATACGCAGTATAAATCACAATTTTGATAATTTCTGTGCCCTATACTCGAGCATGAAAATAAAATGTGACATCATTGTATTAAGCGAATGCTGGTTATCATGTGTAAATAATGTCCCTAAACTTGATGGTTATTATTCTTATAATACTACACATAGTTTTAATCAAAATGACGGTGTCATAGTCATGGTAAATAATGCTTTAGATTTTTGTGTGGAAGAGTATCAGCTTGATGAAGCAAACTGTCTGTATATAAGACTAGGTTCTGAGTACGTAGTTATAGCCATTTACCGTCCACCTTGTTTTAGAAATTTAGAGAAATTCTTAACATCTCTCCAGATGTTACTACGTTCATTATCAAACATTAAAAATATAATATTAGTAGGGGACATTAATATCAGTGTTCTTGAAATAAAGTAAACTTAGATATTGAAGAAGTTATTTATTAATAAATCAATACACGTGCAACGAAAAAACTCTTATCATAGAGAAAAAATTTTTATACAATACAGTGTGACCAGTACCATGACAAATAAATAATCCATTGTCTACTATTAACACCCCCCTTCAATGTATTATTTATTTAAATTAATACAAATTAATTTTTTTTGAAAATTTAAGGATCATATTTTTAGTCAACGGTTTAGTGAACATGTCTGCCACTTGTTCTTCTGTTTTAATATACTCTAAACAAATTTTACCAGTTTCTATTAGTTCTTTTAAAAAATGAAACCTTATATCTATATGTTTCAAACGTTTTACACAATTTGTATTAGCAATCATTATAGCTGCCTGATTATCACAATAGATTTTTACTGGTTTATTATTAACATTTTCCTTAAAATCAAGTAACAAGTTCCTAAGCCAACATGCTTCACTGGCAGTTATGCTTGCTGCTATGTACTCAGATTCAGTAGAGGAAAGACTGACTGAGCACTGTTTCTTAGAGCACCAAGATATTAAACAGTTTGCATATAAGAAACAAAAGCCTGAAGTTGATTTCCTGTCTATGAGGTCTCCACCCCAATCAGCATCACAATAGCCAATCAACTGATCATCATTACATTTATATACTAGTTTGTAATCTATACTATATTTTACATATCTGAGAACCCGTTTCAAAGCCATTAATAATTCATTATTAGCATAGTTTTGATAACGGCTGAGTTTAGATATAACAACACATAAATCA